CGTCTCTGCGGTTTGTCCTCTGTAATGCGTGCGTTGTTTTTATCTGACTTCCTTCCATTTGCATTTAATCATTTAGCGAGCGTTCGGCTGTCAGGTCTGAACAGTCAAGGACGAGCTTCACAGAGGAACATGCAAACACATCTGAGACGACCTTTCATTCTTCTGAAACATTGAGTGTCTGTCATTGAACAATACGGCGATGAGCCACTCGAGGCTGGGCATTTACTGCGGTAAAATCATGGTAAACTGTTGTAATGAAACTGAAGCAACATTAAGGTGAATTAATGTAGACGATGTTCAATAAATGCTTGCATTTATTAATCTGGTAACACTTGAAGCCTTTATATGTAATGCATTATAAAGAGTATTTTAATGCATTAATTAATGCACCTTATAATGCATTCAGTGATCTCTTGAATAATTGGATACTTGTCTATTCATTATTGCATGATCTTCAGTGCATTAAAACACATGACAAGCAACCAGATTTAATAAGGAATCTAGAAATATTATAATTCATTTTAACTTTGGTTGGTTGCAATAACTTATGAAAAGATATAATGCATTCTATCATACGTTTATAATAATGCATTATGCATAAAGACTTCAAGTAAAGTGTTAGTTTTATAATCAGAATGACCTGTTCTTCTTGGTTCGTCAAAACAACTAAAATCACAAAGATCTTCAGAGAAGAGTTCCTGATGCATGTAAAAGTGTTGAATTTAGAGTCTGAATGTGTTTTATAGCTTGGCATCTGGCCTTGAGACGAACACTTTATTAATGACTGTGTTGTTCGCATCAGCGTGTCTCGTCTGTCTGGACTGTGTGTTAGCTTTACTGCTCAGATGCTGCTGGTCATTGAGGGTTATTTCATATAAAACTAACGTTCAGACTCTTTTAACAGTTTGTGAAGCAGATCAGTTTCTTCAGAAGGATGATTTTGCTGGTTTAGTGCTGGTTGACCGGCATAGTGATTCTGGTAACGATGGCTTAAGCAAGTTGACTAAATGGATTGATTATTGTAAATCCAAAAAATGAAAACCCAAAGGTTTTTGCAGAGTTTTCCAAACCTTGCAGACCTAAAAGAATGCTACACTTGAAAAACAAATCTTCAGAGTAAAAATTGCCCTTTCAGCTGTATGTATGTATTTATGTATTCATTAATTCATTCAATTAATTTAATTTATTTTATATTTTTTGTGCAGATGCACTTACTAACTATAGCTATATTCATTTTTTTTTATGTAGCTATTCATCTGGTGAAAAAAAAAGAAACAAACTTTCACAATGTCAGTTTTTACCAATATCGTGAAGCCATTCTTTTATATATA